ATAGCTAGGTAGATGGAGTGAGTGGTAAATCCTGTAATTTGACCAAATGAGAGAAGAGGGGAAAACAGAGACAGATATACCATTGGACAAATGGATAGATAAGTAAGGAATGATAAAAATACAACCACATCTGTTCTTATACATTAGTCTCATGGCATAGTAAACATTGGCCTCTACAGTGAGCTTACAACAAACAGAAAGAGACTTCTCCCTGCAGGCAATCTGGTCAGTTGATCGTAGTGCAGATCTCTAACAGAGATCACCACCTGCTGTCTTGTCTCTGAGCTGCTCACTAGCTTCTGCTCCTCACCCACCCGACCAACCAACCACCACACTCAAATCCCCCTGGACCAGAGCACACAGCCCAGGGAGGAGTGATGAAGGGGGTGGGGGAGGGGAGGAGAAGAGGGACTTAGGGAGAGGGAAAGGTTACTAGCTAGTTCTCCCTTTCCCTTGCTCCGTCTTCCCTCCTTCTTCAAGCCCCAGGTGCTGGAGTAGATTTGCCAGGCCACCATCAAGGCCTCTCTTTCTCTATCTGTTACTTATTTCCTACCCTTTGTTTCTTTCTCTAGTCTCTTTGGACAGACGGGTTGCTTCCGGCAATGTAACAATGCTCCAGCTTACACGTCTGTAGAAGTTCTGCCTGTCAGTTCAGACGTAGAGGACGAGTCGGAAATGGGAAGCACGTCGCCGGTAACGTCACTGCCGTATTTGTTTGTTTACCTAGCTAAACATGAGCACAATTCCCACCCACATTTTAAGCCCCGCCTACCCAAACTCGTGATTTGTTGTTGTCTAAAGAGGACCCTCCCAGGATTATTTTTATTTATTTTTATTTCCGAAAGAAGCAGACATCCTCCCCAGACCTTCTGCCGTTGCCTAGCTAGCTTACGTTGCTCCAAGGTCTGGGACATCTGAGACTACTCTTTCTCCCTCTCTCTATTCGCTCCTCCCTTCCCCTGACAGTCTTTATCCACCCTACATCCTCATATTCTCCGGTCTTACGCCACAAATCAAAATTCTTCTCTCATCACTACCTCTGTCATATTCTCTTGCCCCTTCCCCCTCTCTGAGGTCTCAAGATCCTTCTCTCCCACCTGTCCTGTCCAGTCTCCTCCTTCTGTCACGGTTGGCCCACTGCGTACACAAACAACAGCGGCCTCTCCACGGCACATATGCTTACAGGGGTCAAGCGGCTGAGACAGCTGGGCCAACACGCCCAGGCAGCACACCCAGGGGACCCCCAGGGCTGTCCCTTCATTCTGACTCCCATCAACAGGCCATGGTGGGGGTGATGGAACTGACACTGACCCTGCTCCAGTCCTACAATTACACATGTATGGGTGCAATACACACACGCAAGTACACAAACACGTACAGTAACGCTAGGGCTGGGAATTGCCAGGGACCTCACAATACGATATATTGCGATTCTATATACAGTACCAGTTTGGACACACCTACTCATTCAAGGGTTCTTCTCTATTTTTACTATTTTCTACATTGTAGAATAATAGTGAAGACATCAAAACTATGAAATAACACATATGGAATCATGTAGTAACCAAAAACTTGTTAAACAAATCAAAATATATTTGAGATTTCAGATTCTTCAAAGTAGCCACCCTTTGCCTTTATGACAGCTTTGCACATTCTTGGCATTCTCTCAACCAGCTTCATGAGGTAGTCACCTGGAATGCATTTCAAATAACAGGTGTGCCTTGTTAAACGTTAATTTGTGGAATTTCTTTCCTTCTTAATGCGTTTGAGCCAATCTGTTGTGTTGTGACAAGGTAGGAGTGGTATACAGAAGATAGCCCTATTTGGTAAAAGACCAAGTCCATATTATGGCAAGAACAGCTCAAATAAGCAAAGAGAAACTACAGTCCATCATTACTTTAAGACATGAAGGTCAGTCAATCTGGAAAATTTCAATAACTTTTAGTTTCTATAAGTGCAGTCGCAAAAATCTTCAAGTGCTATGATGAAACTGGCTCTCATGAGGACCGCCACAGGAAAGGAAGACCCAGAGTTACCTCTGCTGCAGAAGATAAGTTCATTAGAGTTACCAGCCTCAGAAATTGCAGCCCAAATAAATGCTTCACAGAGTTCAAGTAACAGACACATCTCAACATCCACTGTTCAGAGGAGACTGCGTGAATCAGGCCTTCATGGTCAAATTGCTGCAAAGAAACCACTACTAAAGGACACCAATAATAAGAAGAGACCTGCTTGGGCCAAGAAACACGAGCAATGGACATTAGACCGGTGGAAATCTGTCCTTTGTTCTGATGAGTCCAAATTTGAGATTTTTGGTTCCAACCGCTGTGTCTTTGAGAGGTGAACGGATTATCTCCGCATGTGTGGTTCCCACTGTGAAGCATGGAGGAGGAGGTGTGATGGTGTGGGGGTGCTTTGCTGGTGACACTGTCTGTGATTTATTTAGAATTCAAGGCACACTTAACCAGCATGGCTACCACAGCATTCTGCAGCGATACGCCATCCCATCTGGTTTGCGCTTAGTGGGACTATCATTTGTTTTTCTACAGGACAATGACCCAACACACCTCCCAGCTGTATTAGGGCTATTTGACCAAGAAGGACAGTGATGGAGTGCTGCATCAGATGACCTGGCCTCCACAATCACCCGACCTCAACCCAACTGAGATGGTTTGGGATGAGTTGGGCCGCAGAGTGAAGGAAAAGCAGCCAACAAGAGCTCAGCATATGTTGGAACTCCTTCAAGACTGTTGGAAAAGCTTTCCAGGTGAAGCTGGTTGAGAAAATGCCAAGAGTGTGCAAAGCTGTCATCAAGGCAAAGGGTGGCTACTTTGAAGAAACTAAAATATAAAATATATTTTGATTTATTTAACACTTTTTTGGTCACTACATGATTACATATGTGTTATTTCATAGTTTTGATGTCTTCACTATTATTCTACAATGTAGAAAATTGTAAAAATAAAGAAAACCCCTTGAATGAGTAGGTGTGTCCAAACTTTTGACTGGTACTGTATATATATATTGCGATTCAATACTGCGATTTTATTGCGATTTGATATTCGAAACGTATTGCTCACTAGAGAGACGAGATAAATGTGTTTTGATCATTCAGGGAGATAAATGTGCTCTAAACATGTTGGTTCACTATTTCAAAAGAAGATGGAGCACAAGCTATCGGATGAAAAATACTAGCGTTTTAGCGCAGATAAAGCCGACTAGCGCCAGCTAACGCTACCTACAGTAGTATATAAATAATCATTTTTTTACACCGATACTTGGAGTCAAATATCGATATACCTTCCAAAAAATAATATTGTGATATGTAACTGTATCGATTGAGAGGAAGAATGGATCAATCTGAGGTTGCTCAGGTTTCATGTGTGGAGGGAATGCTAAGAGGACAAAGCATAGAGGCTTTGTCATGTGCACTAGTTATGGATTTTGATGCACAGGAAATACAATAACCTGACATGTAAATTGGATGTCCCTGCCGTTATTTTAGTTCACACGCATGCGGCACACAAACACAACCTCACACACAACCCCCAAAACAAGGACAAACCCCTTAGCTTCACCTGTCCATGTGATGAAAGACCATAGCGTCGTTAGTGTTGTTCACATCCCTGATCAACACTGAGATGGAGGTGATCGAGATAAATATGAACAAACATGCTACTGGACATGAATAGTCCAGCGTCCCCCTGCCCCAAAACCAAGCACAACACCATCAATTATTCAGTCCCAGCCATCCCCATTGGCAGCAGATGGTTCATGTTACTGAGCAACGTGGCATATCATACAAGTGCATATTTAATTTCTATACTTGATAAGCATGATTTGTATTACAAAGACTAAATGGAAAAATACATCAGTTGAAGAATCAATACCAATGTATTCATAGAGTATACCCTCCCTCCAGTCTACACACAATGACAAAGGCTTCCCAAGTCTTATCGATACTCCAACACTGCCAACTTGAGGGTGGTGCTGTTTCCACTCAAACAGATAATTTCCATTCTAGGGGAAATCTGAGAAGGAATCAATAAGTGAGCCGAACACAATGATGCAGTAGTGGATCATTAATATATGTATTCATCGTAGAAGATACTGTCTAGTGGCTTCCAGTAAAATAGGCAGTTGATGAAACAGAGCATGAACAAATACACAGAACATTTGGGCAGCTACTACAATTCTACAAGCCAGACAGTACGCTTTTTATTTTACCTTTATTTAACCAGATAAGTCAATTGAAAACCAATTCTCATTTACAATGACTACCTGGCCAAGACGTATGTACACACAAAAAGCAGCAGCATACCGGTATTCTTTAATACATTCACACTTTTAAATAATACGTTATTTTCTGACCAAGTCAGACTACATGAAAAAAGGATGCCATACTAAAAAAAAAAGGGAACGATTAAATACTTTTTTTACTCATCTTATGATAATGTATCGAAGTGCCCTTGGAACAAAAATAATGCCAATTACAGCAGAAAACGCTAAATTATCGACGAGAAAGATAGGAATTGTTTTGACAGGCAGCAGAGCATAAATCAGTATTTCTGTGACTCTCATGTCTCCTAGAGTATTCTGCTTCTAACTAAACAATAACATCACATCCATACATTTCATCATGTCACGTTCAGTCAGATACCCAAAGATCTTGTTCTGCAGGTCTTATAACTGGACACAATATAGGTCTATCATTGTGTGCATATAATATGCATTGAACTGTCTGCTGACTGACAGATCAAACTGACTATAGAGAAGAACACTACAGGGAAAATATGTAGTAGAAGTGAGGAACCTGAGGATTTCAGAAAATACATGTTATAGCACCATCTACTGGAGAACGTAAGAACGGTCAAGACAAACTACACAAAGAGGTGCGAGATGAGAGATGCAGGTGAATGAATAAAACGATTACAGCACTCCAACATGCCCAGGACAGGGTTGTATTCATTAGGGAATGCAACAGAAAACATATTTAACATTTTGCAAGAGAACAAAATGTAGCATTTCTTATTGGACAAGTCCAAGTAGTCCATCCCCGTTTCAGTTTGTTTTCTACAGTTTAGTGCCTAGTGAATACAACCCAGGTTTTTTTCCAAAATAATGACCATTAAAACAGAGCACATGAAGTAGTCAGTCAATTTAAAGTGAGTTATTGCATGTCACTTTGATACAAAGGGGCAACAAAAAGATAAAATGACAAAACGTAAAAACATTTTCACCCAGGCCCTAATACCAGAAGTTGTGTGAGAAGATAGACAAATTATTTCAAAACCATTTTTTTTTTAACCGACATAACTATAACATCCAGTTTCAATGTTATGTTGGCACATGAACACAATGACAGTTTTGCCATAAATAAAATTACAAACATCTAAATGGGTCCTGCATTTTATGTTAGGTCACTCTTTTAAATAAACAACTTGTAAAGGATTTCATTATGTCTTCATTAGAACTACATAATCATTTATAAGCAAAGTCCTATGACATAAACGGTAATATAACCCTTCAGTCCCCTTTCGTTCCCCATGACATTTGCTAATGAATGACAGCAATGTTCTCCCACACCACCGGGGGATACACCACCTTAAACTCCGGCCCGTTGTCGTTGACGTCCAGTAGGTAGGTATCATAAAGGGTTTATGCATCATTGAGTTGTTTTTTCAAAATGTGACCTTACATTTTCTTTCTAGTACAATCATCCCACACTCACATACTAAAGAGAGGAAAGGAGATGTGAATTAGACAGTGTTCTGCTAGTACACACTAACAAACTCCCTCTGTCTCTAGATTACAGAGGGAGTAGAAAATACAATTTAAAACATTTCAAGCATGCAGACACAAACATACATAGCGATCCTATGTCAAGCTGCAAAGAAACAAAACAAAATGACAAAAGTCTACATTGTTCAAATGGAAAAAAGCAAACTTTTGAATCCAATAGTACATCAACTGTACTTTATAACTGGGGAGAATGGAACTCCTGACAAACTAGAGGGATATGTTGTGTTTCCGCTAACCCCGTGTTGGCTTGAGCCCCACAGTGAAGGCTCTACAGTTCAATGTATGAATCTCCTTCTTCTGCAACTCTTCCTCCCCTTCCTTCCTGTTTTACCCGGCAGGGCTCTCTGGCTCCCTCTGCAGGTAGAAGCTCACACTGCGCCACAGCATCGGTTCAGGAAGAGCTGCTCGATGACCGAAGAGTCAGCTAGCGTGGACACGTCGCCCAGGTCCCGCTCATTACGGGCAATCTTACGTAGCACGCGCCGCATGATCTTACCTGTATACAGAGAAGAAGAAAGGCAATTTGGTCATTAACGCAATTACTAGCTCTCATTCAGTACAGCTTTGATATCATAGTGTAAAATGTTGCATCATATGTGCTACCCTCTCACCTGATCTGGTCTTGGGAAGGCTTGGGGCATTCTGTATGAAGTCGGGGGTGGCAATGGCACCAATCTTCTCTCTTACTGTCACAACAGATAATACACAGCATTAGTCATCTGAACATCCTCAATTCCAGTTATAATACATCTGCTTCAACACAAGAACCTATTGTCTCTTGAGATGCATATAACAAGGATGGTGCCTTGCAGGATAATCCCCTTTGTCATGTTCAGTGACAGTACTTGGCCTAACACGCACACACGCATGCAAACACCTTGTTTTTTTAGCTCGGCCTCCAGGGTGCAGTTGAAACTGACTCCATCCGTGAGCGTGACAAAGCAGTAGAGACTCTCCCCCTTGACAGGGTGCAGCCGGCTCACCACCGCTGCCTCGGCCACCGCCGCGTGCTCTCCCAGGGCTGCCTCCACCTCTGCTGTGCTCAGCAGATGACCTGGGGTGTGTTCAGTAGGGAGAAAACGTTTAGAAACGGGGAGGTACTAGCTAGATTTGTCCAACACAGATATTCATTTTCTGTAGCAAAATATTTTGCTACCGTGTGCCCTACTTAACACGACCCAGATAAGCATACAGTCCAATGACAGGAATATAGTACAATAACAGTCTACCTATCTCTGAATCATATTTTAGTGCTGGAGAATTTAACATTATCATCAGTCAGATCTTCCTGGAAGACTAACTAACTAATATTTCACAACAGCAGAACACTATTCATGATTCTGAAAATGAATCAGACAATGACGAAATCCCTGATTTAGTTAAAAACATTTGAATTGAACCAGACATTGTAGAGTCTTCTGATGACAGTGGTGGGAAGAAACAGTGTCGTTGTCATGGAAAAAGTTGACCTGTTTCGAAATCAGTGGAATGTCCAGTGGAAGCAGAGAGATGATTGCCAAATGCGGAGAGAGTCCAAAAGAGAACGCAGAAGGATGTTGTATAAAACCCCTGTCTCCGGATTCCATCTTCTAACTAAGGGTCTCCATGACAGAGGGGGAGAAGCGTTCACCCATGTATATGGTCCCGTGTAGCTCAGTTGGTAGAGGGTTGTGGGTTCGTTTCCCACGGGGACCAGTATGAAAAAAATATAATTTATGCACTCACTAACTGTAAGTCGCTCTGGATAAGAGCATCTGCTAAATGACTAAAATGTAAAAATATATACGGGTAAGAGTCTACCTACATTTTCAGATATTATCCATTTCTAATTTAGTCAGAAAGTCATTTTCATTACTGGCTGGCTCACTAGCTAACGTTTCGTGTATGATCTGTGTAGTAATATTATTAGTATCTCAGAAATCCATTTGAGTTGCTAGTTATAGCCTAATGTTTGCTAGCTAGCTAACATTGAACCTAGTTGGTTAGCTTTATCTACCTGCATGGTAGTATTGCCGCTTTCAAAACATCTGGGAAAAATAAAGAGTTCAAATCATGACGTCAGTGATCTTCAGTTTGGAAAGTCAGAGCTCTAGAAAGAGGCCAGAGTTCCCGAGTTGGAATTCCGAGTTGGATGACCGTTCAAATAGATTCTTCTCGAGTAGTTTTGAACGCACTGAAGTCAGAGATTTCAGAGTTCTTGGTTGTTTGGAACTCTGCATTAGAGTTGGGATTATGGTTCATTGTTTAGCTAGCTACATGTCTAAACAAAAGACCGTTTACACCTGTATCCTGTGCATGTGACAAATAAACTGATTTTATTTGATATAGTGTGTGTTTACCAGAGATGGTAATGTGAAGAACATAACCTGCACCAAAGTCAGATTAGGATATAGGCCAAGGACGAGATAAAGTGTATTTTTACTACTTTTTGCAACTACTTTCACCACTTTTAGTCTTGAGATCTTTGGTTGTTTACTACACTGTGAATCCTTAAAGAGATGGGTGGGTAATAATAATAATAATAATAATATGCCATTTAGCAGACGCTTTTATCCAAAGCGACTTACAGTAATGCGTGCATAAATTTTTGTGTATGGGTGGTCCCGGGGATCGAACCCACTACCTTGGCGTTACAAGCGCCGTGCTCTACCAGCTGAGCTACAGAGGACCATGGGTCTAAGGCTTATGATGGTGTGAAAGATGCTGAATGGGTGTAGACAAAGAAGAGCTCTCCAGTAGATGTACCAAAACATTCACGGGTCATTTTCTCAAAAGTGGGGTTAGAAGTTTATAAACTTTCAAATCAGAATGACTTTCCCATTGTTCCTCAACTGCAGTGTATTATATACAATTTTCTAGCTCTGAGTCTCTACTTTTATCCAATGTAAAAAACACCATTTAAAATGTTGCTACATAGGACTGTTTCCAGGTGGTGGGTCACAAAAGAACACACAAGACATGGCAAAATGTGTCAAATTGCAGGAAATTGTATCTGCGAAGCCGCGAGGTGGGGGTTTGTTACTACCCCAATAAATGACAATATCCATCTAGACCTTTGCCACCTAGGACAATTTTGTGACCGGACCTTCTCAAATAGTACTTGATTATCCCTGGTATATTGTATGTACAGTGGAAGGGCCTTTGAAAGGGTGTTTTGTTGAAAGTGCCCAGCAGTAGTAGTAGTAATGTAATATGTTCTACAACACAAAGGGGAATTCCACCATTAGCAGTAGCGCAGATGGCAGAACAAGAGACCACACAGTACAGACATTCCAACACTACGCATTATATTTCACAGAGCTCCAGCTGATAGTACTGACCTGAGACATTCAACATGTCATCCATCCTCCCTGTGATCCAGTAGTACCCATCCTTGTCCCTACGGCAACCTGGGGGGAAACGTTAATACATAAGTGCCGTTTACAGAGGGTCTTGATTTAAACAAGTATACATAAAACAAATTGGAAGTCTATAATATGATGCCACTTAAAGAATACATATGGTAAATGTGTGCGGTATTCTATAAACATCAGTCATGATGGTGCTCAGGACCATGTTAGACTCATCGTACCATCACCAGTGACGTAGTATCCAGGGAATTTCTTGAAATAGGTGGTCTCAAACCTCTGGTGGTTCCCATACACAGTCCTCATGACTCCTGGCCATGGCTGTTTGAACACCTGAGGAGGGGTACAAGATGCAAGGATGTCCAAAGTAAAACAAAAGCATTGAAGATCCAATTAATCAAATACCGACAACATATTGCAGTGAGAATTAATCTAACGTTTGCAGCTAAATGAAAGTATTGGGTAATTTCTAACAGTTTTCTTACCAGGTAACCCTCGCATGGTCCCTCCAGCTCCTCCCCAGACTCATTCAAAATGGCTGGGACAACTCCAAAGAAAGGAAAGGTCTGGTGGTGGAAGGGAAAAAACAGAGAGCAAATTAGACCAACTCTGCCCTCATAATGACAGGAGGCAGGCAGCATCTTAGTGGGCAGGAATGGAGGACTTGATAGTATGAACATAACACTTACAGCAGAGCCAGGCTTCAATGGTGTGGCAGCAGGTAGAGGAGTCAACACGTGGCCACCCTGAGAGAAGACCGAATGGGAAGAGAGATTCAGTCACACACACCAAACTGACAAAATGAAACTACCCTTTTCACTATTTACAGTTTACAGTGACAGTGACAGAAACAGAAGAGAGATGTCGATGCCGTGTTATTGTTTTCTATTTTTACAAATAGACACAAAGTCTGTGTCTCTCTATGTGTGCTGAATTTAGAGAACGACCGATAATCGGCCGAGCCGATATATCGGGCGGATATTGGCCTTTTCTAGTCTATTGGCCCTTCTCTATCAGCTATGCCGATAGTCCCTCTGCATAGCAAAACTGCTGCTATACCAGTCGCCACTCAGCACCTGGCAGAGCCACCGGCGAGCACTGCACAATGTCGAGGAATGTCTATCTTGGAAAATCAGCAGTAAGCTAGCTCATTCTCCAACAGAAAGGTGCAGTATTGAGAAACGTATGAATTGACAGTGACCAAAATCGAACTCCTGTTGCAAATATTAGTTTAGTTGAATTCACTAATAATAAGGCTCGTGTCGACGTGCCCGGACATGCATGCAATAAGCAAGCTAGCTAAGCAGCAAGCTAGCTAAGCAGATAGCTATGTAACATGTTAGCAAAGATTACTATGCTAGCTAGCTGGCTAGATAAACACGGTGCTAAGATATCAGATGTGAGCTAATAGCCAACATAGCTAGCTAACGTTAGCTGGTTACAATTTCGGCAATGAGCCATCAGACATGCGGTGTAACGTTAGCTATTTACTGGTGTGCTGATCTGACCAGCCGCAATCGTATCCGGAAATTGACAGTTAGTAATCGGATTAGATGATTATCGTAATAGGGAAAGGAGGAAGTGTTTTCAAAATCCTAAATAAAAGTTTGGCAATAGGTTTAGCTACCTAAGAATCCTCCTGCATGTTAATGGACCAAGAAAGCTGCTCTTTAGCTATTTGCTTTAAATTTTGCTTAATTAACACTTTTAATTTTACATTTTTTCTTTAAAAAACTGCATTGTTGGTTAAGGGCTTGTAAGTAAGCATTTCACTGTAATGTTTACACCTGTTGTATTCGGCGCATGTGGCAAATAACATTTGATTTGATCAGTGCGGGTGTGTGTGCATTCTCACTTTTCAAACTATGGGCGGATTTGAGTCATTCAGACAGAACGTGCATTGTTGTTTCATATTTTTTTCCTACCCTCGCTCTCCTTGTTAGATATTATGCAAACGTATGGCTTATACAAAATTCTTGCAACCAATAGAATGTTATATACAGTGCATTCGGAAGGTATTCAGACCCCTTGACTTTTTCCACATTTTGTTACATTACAGCCTTATTCTAAAATTGATTAAATAAAATGTTTTTCCTCATCAATCTACACACAATACCCCATAATGACAAAGTGAAAACAGGTTTTTAGAAATACCTTATTTACATAAGTATTCAGACCCTTTGCTATGAGACTGAATTAAATCTCAGGTGCATCCTGTTTCCATTGATCATCCTTGAGATGTTTCTACAAATTGATTGGAGTCCACCTGTGGTAAATTCAATTGATTGGACATGATTTGGAAAGGCATGTGCATGTCAGAGCAAAAACCAAGCCATGAGGTCGAAGGAATTGTCCGTAGAGCTCCGAAACAGGATTGTGTCGAGGCACAGATCTGGCGAAGGGTACCAAAAATATTCTGCAGCATTGAAGGTCCCAGAGAACACAGTAGCCTCCAATCTTAAACGGAAGAAGTTTGGAACCACCAAGACTCTTCGTAGAGCTGGCCGCCCGACCAAACTGAGCAATCGGGGGAGAATGGCCTGGGTCAGGGAGGTGACCAAGAACCTGATGGTCACCTCTGTGGAGGTGGGAGAACCTTCCAGAAGGACAACCATCTCTGCAGCACTCCATCAATCAGGCCTTTATGGTAGAGTGGCCAGACGGAAGCCACTCCTCAGGAAAAGGCACATGACAGCCCGCTTGGAGTTATATAATATATAATAATAATAATAATATATAATAATAATAATAATAATATAATATGCCATTTAGCAGACGCTTTTATCCAAAGCGACTTACAGTCATGCGTGCATACATTTTTTTTGTGTAGTTATCATGCTGTGGGGATGTTTTTCAGCAGCAGGGACTGGGAGACTAGTCAGGATCGATGGAAAGATGAACGGAGCAAATTCTTGATGAAAACCTGCCCAAAAGCGCTCAGGACCTCAGACTAGGGTGAAGGTTCACCTTCCAACAGGACAACGACCCTAAGCACACAGTGACGCCGTTAAAGGGTTAGCGAAGGTATAGTGCGTGGCCTTTGGATTTATTCATAAAATGAATAAAGTCCCCTTAACATGGAGTTTCCGCTGGTTCATGAGCTATTCAGTTGATGAACAAGAATCACACTGGGTGGAGCCATTCATAAAATGAATAGGGTCACATGTAGTTCTGTACCTGTCTGTTAATGTTATGTATTATGTCAATTTATGTAGTTCTGTCCTGTAATTGTGTATTCATGTTTTGAATTATGTCATGTTTTGTGTGGACCTTAGGAGGAGTAGCTGCAGCTTTGGATGTAGCTAATGGGGATCCTAATAAAATACATTCAATAAACGCATCCATTTCTTCAATGTATTTAAAATCTATTCAGTAACATTACATGATAAACAAATAAGTGGGTACTGACGGTCTCAGTCTGCCAGAAGGTGTCGACCACGGGGCACCTCTTCTCCCCCACCACACTGTAGTACCACTGCCACGCCTCCGGGTTGATGGGCTCCCCTACCGTCCCCAGCACCTTCAGAGACTCACGACTGTACCTGACACACACGGGGAGGGAACATGTTAACCTGGAAGACACACTCCCATAGCCTCACACAAAAGGACAAAACCAAACATGCAGGCATTTGCCAACACTTGTGTATATAGCAGTATATACAGAGGGCAAAGACAGACCGTCTAGACAGTAGATGTACTTAAAGGATCAAATCAAACTTTATTTGTCACATGTGCCAAATACAACAGGTGTAGACCTTACCATGAAATGCTTACTTACAAGCCCTTAACCAACAATGCAGTTCAAGAAAGAGTTAAGAAAATATTTACAAAATAAACTAAAGTAAAACATAATAAAAGTAACACATTTAAGCAGATGGAGCACTCAATAGTCCCATCTGTAGATAGTGACGCTTTTGCTGTATGAAGTCCTGTCATATTCAGGCCTGGGTCGTTTTCAATAGGGCAGAAATTGTTGAAACAGGGTCAAACCAGGAGGTACTGTCCAATTAGAACAGTTTTGTTTTCTGTTGCAAAACATTTTGCTACAGTGTGCCCTAATGAACACAATCCAGGTTAGAAACAGGGTGGATGAGCCAAGTGTGTAGAGACTCACTTCTGGACGGGCTCGCTGCCATACTTCATGAGGAGGCGGATGGCTGTGGGCGCCGTGTAGAACTTGGTAACTTGGTACTTGTCCACTATCTCCCACATGCGGCTCACGTCTGGGTAGGTGGGCAGACCCTCGAACTGTAAACCGATCAGATTCACATCACAACAGAGTCAGAGGCAGTCACATATTGACAACAAAACAGAGTCAGATTATGTGAACACAACTCTATGATCATAAACTAAGTCATCATTGGCTGTCTGATATCAAAGAGAATGCTGTCTCAACTACATGAGGAAGTAGAGGTGGAAAATAACATCTCCTTTGATCGCTCCCCTCCTTGTTTATACACATGTTTTATGAGAATACATTTTAATGAGTAGCTGTATGAGATAAGTCACAATAAAACCATGACTTGGTTATAACATATCTCTTTACAGTTTGTCAAAATGGACTATGGATGTTTTTGACACCATTTAAAATCATATGACATTATAATCCTGTTGCACAAAATTTGACAGCCTTCTTTCAATATAAGTGGAAGCCCAGAATAGTAATGATAAGTATATCATATTAATCACAAAAAGCCTCTGGGTGTCCCAAATGGCACCCTATTCCCTATATAGTGCACCAGAGACCAAACGGAATAATGTATCATTTCAGACACAGCCCTCCCTCCCCTAAATGACAGCAGTAAGCCTGTGGCCCTCCACTCACCAGGACGCTGGTGGCACCGTTGGCCAGGGGTCCATAGGTGATGTAGGAGTGGCCTGTGATCCAGCCGATGTCGGCCGTACACCAGTACACGTCGTCAGGCTGGTAGTCAAACACCAGCTTGAAGGTGGTGGCCACGTAGAGCATATAGCCACTGACTGTGTGGAGCACACCCTGTTGAGAAGAGACACACATGTTCATGACAGCAGCATTGATGTGCATGTGAAGACAGAAAAAACAGAGTGCAAAAACCTAGAAGAGACAGAGGGGGGGGGGGGCAAACAAAAACGTGACCGAGAAAGATAAAGACGTGTATTTTAGGTTTCCGAGTGGAGAGACAGGCGCACAGAGAGACAGAAACGTAGTGAAATTGCTTGCATGTGATAATGTGTACCTTGGGTTTCCCGGTGGATCCGCTGGTGTAGAGGATGAAGAGGGGGTCCTCAGAGTCACACCACTCTGGCTCGCACTCCTCAGACATATTACTCAGTAAGCTGTGCCAGCACCGATCCACCTCAGGGTTCCACGGCACCTGGCAGAACCACACACACACACTGGTAAAACCACACAGAATGACTGACCGGGTGACAAGGATAGCTGAATGTTTACAGCCCTTGAGAGAGACCGAATCAACAATAAAAGATGAACCCAACTGATTCTATTCAGTGAAGTGCAACATCCAAGCCTAACTGATAACACTCGTATTAAGCAGTAGGAAGAAGTCTAAATACTTTTAATCACTTAATCAGAAGTCAGAATGTTAGCTCAAATCAAACATGCCGCTCAGACAAGCTAAGACAGACGAGAACAAATGAGAGAATAAGTGAATCAGCATTGTATACACTTGAGCAGTCTGAAACAACGGTGAGAGAAGTTAGCAAATAATGTAACTTTCAGAGTTCATAATCAAATGCATCTCCCAAACTGCTGTTCTTGGGGGTTAAAGGTCACTATATGGGTGGGGTTAATGAAATATACTGTACAGATGTTCTTAAACTATGGGTAGGGCCCTGCGTTTTCAGCCAACTTGTACCGCCATAGTATTTCTGAAATATGCCATATATATGTGCATCACATTGATAGCGTTGCACATATACTGATATACACCGAGTACAAAATATTGGGTATGCCTCAATTCATCGGGGCATGGACTCTACAAGGAGTCGAAAGCGTTCCACAGGGATGCTGGCCCATTTTGACTCCAATGCTTCCCACAGTTGTGTCAAGTTGGCTTGATGTCCTTTGGGTGGTGGACCATTCTTGATACACCAGGGAAACTGTTGAGCGTGACAAACCCAGCAGTGTTGCAGTTCTTGACATACTCAAACCGGCGCGCCTGGCATCTACTACCATACCCATTCAAAGCCACTTAAATCTTTTGTCTTGCCCATTCACCCTCTGAATGGCACACATACACAATCCATGTCTCAATTGTACCAAGGCTTAAAAATCCTTCTTTAACCTGTCTCCTCCCCTTCATCTACACTGAGTGAAGTGGATTTAACAAGGGATCATAACTTTCACCTGGTCAGTCTCATGGAAAGAGCAGGTGTTCCTTATGTTTTGTACACTCAGTGTATATTGACAGTGCTGCACAATCCCAGTACGAAAAAGACGGACTTTAACTATAGCAGGAGACGAAAGGCCCCACTGACGGCATGAGAGGTCAGTGTTGATAAACTACATCTACATGGTGAGTCAGGGGTCAATTACCTTCCATCTGAAAGCTTCTAGTCAATGTTTATTCTTCAGTGTTGCTTTCAGGTCAATTTCAACCCAACAAGCGTATCTTAAGTATAGCTAAAAGTAAAAGGCTAAAGCCAGGCAGAGATAAGGTACGGGACCAGTTGTGAGCAGAGTGCTGTTAGTAAGACCACAGTCACGCTCCGACAGAGAGAGATCCTCTAGACACAGCAGTTAGGGTGTTACTATAGGATCGACCCCCAGGGTTAGGCTACCGCTGAGAAGAGGATCAGACAGAAAGGTGTTAAGAAGAAAAGGAAATTGAGAAAATTCAAGCTCAGGGAAATCTGAAATACCTGCGGGACGGGACGGATTTTCTTTACTCTGTCTTTCTGTTTCTCCTGCTAGAAGGGGTTAATAGAAACGGTTATTTCAACAGACATAAAAAGGGTGGCTTCATGTCATTTGAACCATGACATCTGAGACAAAGCCGTACAGGCTTTGCAGAGGGACAATGTATACTTTTCATCTTATACAAACACCAAGGAGGAAGGCGGCAAAAGCTTGAACTGTTTCAGGAGATACAAGTGAAAAACAAACAAAGGAGGGAGTTAACGTTAAAGGGATAACAACTTAAGCCTTTATTAACTAAACAGTAGCATGTGGTAAAGGTGAGAGACCTGTCCTATGAACAAATGGGTTGTAATCATTAGGCACCAACTGGAAGAAAATGGAGGCACTACCTGAACTTGTTAATAAACACCCATTTTTATTTTCCATTGCAAAACATTTTACCATGGTTTGCCCTAATGAATAGGACAGTGGGGCTTCTGATGCTGGTCTCACCTGCAGGTCAGGACAGGGCCGCTTGGGAGGGGGGGACTCGGAGACCAGGTGAGTGGGAGGGGGGGACTCGGAGACCAGGTGAGTGGGAGGGGGGGACTCGGAGACCAGGTGAGTGGCCTCCACCTCCTTGGACAGATGTTTTAGCACGATACACCTCTGAACTGGGAAACTCCTGACAGACGGAGAAGAGGGGGGGGGAGTGGGAAAGAGTAGGAAGACGAGGAAGTAGAAGAAAGGTGAGAGTCGTGATTCACATGAACATACAGAAGAGATACCTAATGGAGGCAAGCATGGGCATGTGTTGCTGGAAATACAAGACAAACCAGCATCATCTCTTCAGGAACGGCAAACAGAGAAGAAGTGTGTAAATGCGACTAGCTAGTCCAGTGGAGGCCAGCTTATAATAATGGCTGGAAAGGAGCGAATGGAATGGCATCAAACACATGGCACATGGAATGGCATCAAACTCAAAATATCAATTTTCATATTGATATTTTGAGCCCGTCCTCCCCAATTAAGGTGCCACCAACCTCCTGTGAGCTAGTCAGATAGAACAGTACTTCAAGAAGGGCTTGGTCCTTACTTGTCTCTGCATTTCTGCAGCGCGTCGTCAGCGATCACCTTCAGGTTGATCAGCTTATCTCCTCTGTAGAAACCATCTGAGAGAGGGGGGGGGCATGACAGGGTTGGGGAAGTTCAGAATAGATGAGGTGAAAGGGTGCATACCGATCAATGAGAGAAACGCAGGGCAGTTATTGCCATCGACAGGACGTTACTGGTACTGTAAGATGTGACTCAGTGAATTGGCATGAACCCGTCACAGCCTGGGAACAATTTTCATATTGATATTTTGAAATCCACTGACTACGAAAAGGAATGATTCCGTCTTCGATTATATTTATAGCTAAGAGGCAAAACATTTTAGTATTGAGTGTTTTCAGATGTCAAACGATCATAAAATGCACGTCTGGGTTTTAGTATAATTGAATAGCATCCAGCAGACTTCGCTAATGTGCAACATTTTTAATTACTTTCATTCCCCCTGGCAACAGTCTTTATCAGTGGGGAGAAATTGCCCATGACAACCCCACTGTCACACACAATGGGACCCCTCTAAAGAGGTTATGGTTATGGCAGTTATCCGATTAGCGTCACTCCAAATCCAAATCTGTAGAGTGATGCAGTCCGCCTATACACTGGGCTCTCTCACTATGAGCAGAATAAAGTATGGCTAATTAACACTGTGGATTAGAAGGTTTTGGGATAACCTATGGCACTATAATCCATCTAATAAGAGTTTCATTGTTACTGCAGCTTAGTTTGCAGTCTCACCGGCCGTGATCAGCAACGAGCACTGGGAGTTCAGGATCCTCTCGCACAGCGACTCTGCCGAAAAGCCTGCAAACTGGGAAGCACACAAATCAAAACACAAGTACACTAATCAAATACACTGTGCGGTGTGCGCATAAGTGTTTGCCTGTTCTGGTTGCCTTGTAGGGTGTGGGTTGAAAGATTTGTTCCTTCAAAATCTGTATGAGGAAAAACTGGTAAAATGGCTATTCCATCCACTTAGCACTTAAGTGGCTTAAGTCTGAGTCTAAATCAGGCTGGTATGATATGTGCCTATAGGCCTCATCCAGACATGGTTGAAATGGTGGCTGTTAGCTACTCACCACGATTGAGTGCACGGCCCCGATGCGGACACAGGCCAGCATGGCCACTACCAGCTCCACCACCATGGGCATGTAAATGGACACGCGGTCGCCCTTCTTCACCCCCTGGGACTTGAGCACGTTGGCAAACTGGCACACCTGCTGGAGCAGCTCTCTGTAGGTCACTGTCATCACGTCGCCAGGCTCATTCCCTTCCCTGTGATGGGACCAACAACAGAGATATCATACATAATGTTTGTAGAACTAACGTTTTCCTGACCAAGATGGCCATAGTTTTAGTCATGTTGCCGGGATGCCAATGTCAATTGTAGTGTTCTATTTAAATTCTGACTTAACACACACAGTGTTTCCTAAATAAACCCAACCGAAAAGGACAGGAGTTATATGGTATAGACATTATCCCAAAAGAGTATGATCTGAAAATAAGCATTGAAACTAAACCACTGATTTATACTCAGACTCAAAACATTCACTCACACCAACATGCTCACAAAGCTAATATTCATGGTGGATCAATTCTAGCTAAGTCTCATGTGCTGAAGGTTGCCGTAATAAACTGACATTGTGCCTCTACTTTAAAATCAGCAATGTGCCTGAGCTCTGGAGTTTGTCTCTTGAAATCTCCTCTTAAATGAGAAACGCATGAATGGTAAACTCTAAGGACAAGCTCTTAAGACGGCAGAGTGTGCACTAAAGCGTGGTTACTGGGTATATTTGTGTCTCTGTTAAAGTACTCTGTCCCTCCTAACACAGTTGGCCCTGTCATTCCTCTATGTGTGAACACTGGCCCATAACAGGAGCGCCTAGAGACTGCTGAAAGTCAGAGCAAAGGTCACTTATCAAGTTCACCCATTTAGCCCACATTCTGCCCAAGGATAGCAATCACTGTGCCATGCTGAAACATACTTTCATGGGAGGGTGGAAAGCAGATTGTGAAACTCAGATTGCTTAATCTTACACAAGGCTAGATGGAACTGATGATAAAATAACTGACAATATAAAACTAGCCAACGCCACGTGACAAATGTTCCCTCTAAGCTGTGTGTGTGCATGGCCGCGCAGCTCCTGGAGCAGTCCCGCGCTGAAGAATTGCCAGCCCGCACAAAGACGCAAGAGATTGAACTTGATAAAAAGGTACAGTGGGGAAAAAAAGTATTTAGTCAGCCACCAATTGTGCAAGTTCTCCCACTTAAAAAGATGAGAGAGGCCTGTAATTTTCATCATAGGTACACGTCAACTATGACAGACAAATTCAGAAAAGAAAATCCAGAAAATCACATTGTAGGACTTTTTATGAATTTATTTGCAAATTATGGTGGAAAATAAGTATTTGGTCACCTACAAACAAGCAAGATTTCTGGCTCTCACAGACCTGTAACTTCTTCTTTAAGAGGCTCCTCTGTCCTCCACTCGTTACCTGTATTAATGGCACCTGTTTGAACTTGTTATCAGTATAAAAGACACCTGTCCACAACCTCAAACAGTCACACTCCAAACTCCACTATGGCCAAGACCAAAGAGCTGTCAAAGGACACCAGAAACAAAATTGTAGACCTGCACCAGGCTGGGAAGACTGAATCTGCAATAGGTAAGCAGCTTGGTTTGAAGAAATCAACTGTGGGAGCAATTATTAGGAAATGGAAGACATACAAGACCACTGATAATCTCCCTCGATCTGGGGCTCCACGCAAGATCTCACCCTGTGGGGTCAAAATCATCACAAGAACGGTGAGCAAAAATCCCAGAACCACACGGGGGGACCTAGTGAATGACCTGCAGAGAGCTGGGACCAAAGTAACAAAGCCTACCATCAGTAACACACTACGCCGCCAGGGACTCAAATCCTGCAGTGCGAGACGTGTCCCCCTGCTTAAGCCAGTACATGTCCAGGCCCGTCTGAAGTTTGCTAGAGTGCATTTGGATGATCCAGAAGACGATTGGGAGAATGTCATATGGTCAGATGAAACCAAAATATAACTTTTTGGTAAAAACTCAACTCGTCGTGTTTGGAGGACAAAGAATGCCTAGTTGCATCCAAAGAACACCATACCTACTGTGAAGCATGGGGGTGGAAACATCGTGCTTTGGGGCTGTTTTTCTGCAAAGGGACCAGGACGACTGATCCGTGTAAAGGAAAGAATGAATGGGGCCATGTATCGTGAGATTTTGAGTGAAAACCTCCTTCCATCAGCAAGGGCATTGAAGATGAAACGTGGCTGGGTCTTTCAGCATGACAATGATCCCAAACACACCGCCCGGGCAACGAAGGAGTGGCTTCGTAAGAAGCATTTCAAGGTCCTGGAGTGGCCTAGCCAGTCTCCAGATCTCAACCCCATAGAAAATCTTTGGAGGGAGTTGAAAGTCTGTTGCCCAGCGACAGCCCCAAAACATCACTGCTGTAGAGGAGATCTGCATGGAGGAATGGGCCAAAATACCAGCAACAGTGTGTGAAAACCTTTTGAAGACTTACAGAAAACGTTTGACCTGTGTCATTGCCAACAAAGTGTATATAACAAAGTATTGAGAAACTTTTGTTATTGACCAAATACTTATTTTCCACCATAATTTGCAAATAAATTCATTAAAAATCCTACAATGTGATTTTCTGGATTTTTTTCTCTCATTTTGTCTGTCATAGTTGACGTGTACCTATGATGGAAATTACAGGCCTCTCTCATCTTTTTAAGTGGGAGAACTTGCACAATTGGTGGTTGACTAAATACTTTTTTTCCCCACTGTACACCATCTTTCCTGGCTTTATACAGATCAACTTTTCCTCCGCTGTGGAAATTGGTGCAACAAACCAAACCAAACCTAACTTCAAGACAGAGTTGTAAAGAATGTTGTAGGCTGAGGAGTGCACCGGAGTAGCCTTGTTTGATTTCACAGCACGAGCTGTCTTTCCATCACCTGAGATCACAGAATTTTACATTTACGTAATTTAGCAAATGCTCTTATCCAGAGCGACTTACAGGAGCAATTAGGGTTAAGTGCCTTGCTCATTCCGGGGTTTCGAATCAACGACCTTGCGGCTACTGGTCCAACGCGCTTAACCACTAGGCTACCAGAGACGCATGCAGCAACGTTTGCACATGTTTACATTTTAGTCATTTAGCAGACGCTCTTATCCAGAGCGACTTACAGTTAGTGAGTGCATACATTATTTTTTTCATACATTTGCTGATATTATTTGCTAGTTAGTTACTAGCCCAGTTATAGCAAATTTTGGTCAGCAATGGGGGAGTCATTGCTTCCTACAAGAGCACAACATTTGTACATCAGTCTTTGAAAAGCGAGCTTTATTCTTAAAAAGGGGCAAACATTTGCAAATAAGCTAATAGGCAGAGGGTAGCATACATTTTTGTATGATTCTTTGTATGGTAATAATAATAACAATTAATGTACATTTGTAATATAACACAATAGTGCAATTTCCAGTCACCTATCATTTCTTCTTATTATTATTATTATCGTGATTTGAGCTTTCGGACAAGTAAAGCATCATTCCTAAAATGCTTAATGTCAAGCCATGCATAACGTTGTAAAAAAGTGTAGGCCTACATTGAACACCACATATTGGCTATTGTATGCTATCATAGATGTCAACAGCTATATCCACGTGGAAATGTTATGGCATTTGCTCCATTGGTTTTGTTGATATATATATATACAGTGGGGAGAACAAGTATTTGATACACTGCCGATTTTGCAGGTTTTCCTACTTACAAAGCATGTAGAGGTCTGTAATATTTATCATAGGTACACTTCAACTGTGAGAGACGGAATCTAAAACAAAAATCCAGAAAATCACATTGTATGATTTTTAAGTAATTAATTTGCATTTTATTGCATGACATAAGTATTTGATCACCTACCAACCAGTAAGAATTCCGGCTCTCACAGACCTGTTACTTTTTCTTTAAGAAGCCCTCCTGTTCTCCACTCATTACCTGTATTAACTGCACCTGTTTGAACTCGTTACCTGTATAAAAGACACATGTCCACACACTCAATCAAACAGACTCCAACCTCTCCACAATGGCCAAGACCAGAGAGCTGTGTAAGGACATCAGGGATAAATTTGTAGACCTGCACAAGGCTGGGATGGGCTACAGGACAATAGGCGAGCAGCTTGGTGAGAAGGCAACAACTGTTGGCGCAATTATTAGAAAATGGAAGAAGTTCAAGATGACGGTCAATCACCCTCGGTCTGGGGCTCCATGCAAGATCTCACCTCGTGGGGCATCAATGATCATGAGGAAAGTGAGGGATCAGCCCAGAACTACACGGCAGGACCTGGTCAATGACCTGAAGAGAGCTGGGACCACAGTCTCAAAGAAAACCATTAGTAACACACTACGCCGTCAAGGATTAAAATCCTGCAGCGCACGCAAGGTCCCCCTGCTCAAGCCAGCGCATGTCCAGGCCCGTCTGAAGTTTGCCAATGACCATCTGGATGATCCAGAGGAGGAATGGGAGAAGGTCATGTGGTCTGATGAGACAAAAATATAGCTTTTTGGTCTAAACTCCACTCGCCATGTTTGGAGGAAGAAGAAGGATGAGTATAACCCCAAGAACACCATCCCAACCGTGAAGCATGGAGGTGGAAACATCATTCTTTGGGGATGCTTTTCTGCAAAGGGGACAGGACGACTGCACCGTATTGAGGGGAGGATGGATGGGGCCATGTATCGCGAGATCTTGGCCAACAACCTCCTTCCCTCAGTAAGAGCATTGAAGATGGGTCGTGGCTGGGTCTTTCAGCATGACAACGACCCGAAACACACAGCCAGGGCAACTAAGGAGTGGCTCCGTAAGAAGCATCTCAAGGTCCTGGAGTGGCCTAGCCAGTCTCCAGACCTGAACCCAATAGAAAATCTTTGGAGGGAGCTGAAAGTCTGTATTGCCCAGCGACAGTCCCGAAACCTGAAGGATCTGGAGGTCTGTATGGAGGAGTGGGCCAAAATCCCTGCTGCAGTGTGTGCAAACCTGGTCAAGACCTACAGGAAACGTATGATCTCTGTAATTGCAAACAAAGGTTTCTGTACCAAATATTAAGTTCTGCTTTTCTGATGTATCAAATACTTATGTCATGCAATAAAATGCAAATTAATTACTTACAAATCATACAATGTAATTTTCTGGATTTGTGTTTTAGATTCCGTCTCTCACAGTTGAAGTGTACCTATGATAAAAATGACAGACCTCTACATGCTTTGTGGTAGGAAAACCTGCAAAATCGGCAGTGTATCAAATACTTGTTCTCCCCACTGTGTGTGTGTGTATATATATATATATATATATATATATCTATCTCAACCTATGGCCCGCGGATCAATTCCTGGAACTCAGTCGGGGTCTCAACTCACTGTTGAGAGTTAGAATAATAGAATACACAAGGCGCAATCTAAAAAATGTGGTTGTGCATCAGTTTTTATTTTGTTATGTCAGTCATTCAATTAGCCCATGTCAGCTAAAATGTTTCAAATCGATAAGTTAGTAGTGTAGCGATCAGCTATCTAAACTTGTAGTAAGAATGGTCGAATTACCAATTACCGTGTGGGCCCCATTGATCATCAGAAGGTCGCTGGTTCTAATCCCCGAGCCGACTAGGTGAAACATCTGTCGATGTGCCCTTGAGCAAGGCACTTAACCCTAATTGCTCATGTAAGTCGCTCTGGATAAGAGCGTCTGCTAAATGACTTAAATGTAAATGTAGATATCATATTAAAAACTGCAAACATTTGTCTCCAGCCTATGGAAACATGTGTAGAATTGCAGGAAATTCGCTGTAAAACATCAATTCTCTCTTCGCTATCAAGAGGGGGGGCCGCTAAGATGTTTTACTCGCAAGGCTAGGGCCGGCTCTGACTGCATGTGTGGGTATGGATGTGGGTACGCAGACCCACGAGCCACTGCAGCCCCTCACGATGAGTTAGTTTTTTTTGTGCCCCCCCCCCCCTGGCCTACATTATGCTCAAATAACCACATTAGACTACTTAAACACCCTAGAGTCGATTGACCCGCGAGTCTATCTAATTAACATCATTTTAAAATCACAATCCGTCTGTTTAAGCTAGAGATATGTTTTTTTTGTATGGTCTGAGTCTCAATCCACTGCATCCGCCTTTGTTGGCCTTCCGCATCTGCAGTGGAAAGTAGCAGAGCTACAGCGCTGTTTGTCAGACCAGGAGACACCCCGAAAATCGGTCTTCTCACGAAAACGTCTGTAGCGTCCCAATGGGTTGGCCTACAAATGAATATGACCACTCTATGGAAAGATAACACTCACCAACATGATGGTGTTCTCCGTTTTGTTCTACCACCCCCAATAGTGTCATGGGACTCGTCTGAAGTCAGTACCGCTGATGTGCCAACTTCTGTCTGCAGCGTCCGAACCGTTTGGGCTACAAACTAATATGACCCCACTATGGAAAGTGGAGACTCAGGAACACGATGGGGTTATCCGTTTCTCATCTAAAGGTAAACCAGTACCGGTTTAAAAAAAAGTAGTTGTGCCCCCCCCTAAAAAGGGGTTAAAATGTGTCCATTTTTTAAATATAATAATTCCTGAGCTTTCTCATATCTCCTAGATATAGGACAGACACTTCAAAACCTTATTCCTTGTGATTTAGTTGACCGCCTCGTTTGCCATTTATGAATGTGTTATTCAACGCGTTTCTATGGGCTATAGCAGTAAAGGTCAAATTCAATATTTTATAACAAATATGGATACCTAAAGGGGTCCTAAAATGCTAAATCAAATAGCTAAATGATCCATGGTGTGACCATCTTAAAACAATTCCATATGTTAGCTTAATTTCCCCTCCCCATGGGTGTGGCGAAACACACCCAGTCCTATAAATACACTTTCAGCACTCACGGTCAAGAAGTCAAAGTACAGATGAAACACTCCAACACTGTTGTAGAGGTTGGCAGAGGACAGAAACAATTCAACTGTACCTCCATCAGCACAGAATAATCATAACGAACTACAGTAAAATGTAGGGCAATTAGGGACAAAACCTATTAGGCTGTGTATAACAGGAAATCTAAAGGAAAGAGAGCTTGTGGGTCTGGCTGTGAATTTAGATTGAGAAGCAATAGGCCTGCCAGATACTGTAGAGAGCCACTGTGTTATCTCGCAATGGTGTATGTGCAAGGACGAAAAGACCCATGCAAAGCTCTGCATTCACACAACATTGATTTCTCAACAGACTGCCCACTGTTCCCTTTTAGATTGGTGTTTATTTATGAGCTTCACTCTGCTCTCTGGCAGAGTCTCACACGACTGCTGGTAGGTCAAGGTCATCCAACTAGTTCCCCTCCCAATGGTGGTGACAGTGTGGCGAAACACACACACACACGAGTCAAGACACCCAGTCCTATAAATACACTTTCAGCACTAACGGTCAAGATGTCAAAGTACAGATGACAAACACTCCAACACTGTTGTAGAGGTTGGCAGAGGACAGAAAAAAACCAGGCCTGCCTAGTTCCTACATCAGCACAGAATAAACATAACAAGCATTTAGGGCCAAAACAGCTAATGTAGCCTAGCAACAGACGATAGGCTTGCCTATTACAACATCAGTCCGAGACTAAAACAGAATTCCTAAAGAAAGGACTGAATAAGATGAGAAGCAGGGCCAAACTAATGGTATAAATAGGAACTGATGGGACAGATATTTCACACTTGAGAAGTCATGACTGAAAGACACTGCAGAGAGTACGGCCTTTTAAGCTACAACAACGCAAGACAGAACTTTGGAAGTGAAGCAAAATCTCTCCTAACTTTAACCATTGTGATGAGTAGCCTGTGGGCAAGGAATACACTTCAAAATTCTAGTAGTGAAAACATCTGTAGTGTGAAGTCAGTTTTCTAAAATCAGAGTTGAGACCTCAGTCACCCTAGTACGCAGTTCAAGTCAAGTGTAGGCCTAATGATGTTCATCATTAGCCAATAACTGTGAGACAATTTGCAAGATAAGACACGCAGACACCTAAATGAATTCAACTTTGATGTGACTGGGAGCTTGGTGTCCGTATACCACTGCATTGAGACTACAGAGCACTTTATTATGTCAAAACTGCAGCATACTGTACATACATGACATCTCCTTGTGGTCTAAATGACCCACAGTCTGGTGTGGTTCACGGGGTGAGCAAAGACTATAATTAACCAATAAGGCACAAGAGGCAGTGCTGTATCATGAACAGTCATAGGTAAATGGCATTGTTCGGCCAGTCAACCCATTTACCTGTGACTGTATTCATGCATTTTCATGTATTTGAGCTTTGTTTATATTGACATTTACTTGGATATGTCCATGATAATGACGTTGATGCGTTATTGCGACCGTCTCAGAAAAAGTTTGTCTGGGAACCATTCACTCTAAACCCAGAGGCACAACATTGCAAGACTTCCGGGAACGCTTGCCAAACAGACCAGGTTTGAGAAGTCAATGAGAGAAGTTAAAAATTCTTACTCAGTTGTAATCTTCTCAATCTAAAAAGGTACAACCTAGATTTGAGTAGTTGAACATGTTATTACTCCAACCTTGTGAAAGGTTTTCATTTTTGTCAAAAATAACTTTATATCGAACGAGTGCCTTTGATTTGATGTGCTGTTCGGCGCGAGACAACCGTTAGACCCGATTACGTGTTTCTACGCATGAGCTTTGCTAGCCAACGTCGCCTACAAGTGGGATCTGGGATTTTTATTGGAGAAGCAGTTTCAGCCTGTCTTCGGTACTACAGAGATCTAAATTAAAAAGTGAAACATTGTTTCCGAAATCGGACATGCAGACAACAAGCTTATATTAATTAAGCCCCGCTGTACCAAACGAAATGCTAGGCTGGAAGCACCTGGAAATAATGTGCGCGTTGAGATAAATACAAGAGATGAATTCGGGACAGCACATGAAAATGATATTCTTATGGTAGGGCATGATATTTCACAGATTGAAACTATTAGCAGCATTGGTGTGTCTTGCGCCCCTCCAATACCGAAAGGCTTGGAATGCTGCTTTGTCCAACCCAGCAGCCCGGAATCCAAACAACCAATTTAAGCCGGCTTATAACGCCAGGTATGGGTTCGATCCCCGGGAACCATACACAAAAAAAATCGCATACGTAGTCCTTGAAAAACTCTGCTAAATGCTATACCAACATAACACACAAATAGCTACCACATCCCTAAATAACCCATCCAGCACATTCATCCTCATGGATTCACTATTCATTCATGGGGACATCTTTGACCTGGGGCTAGCTTCACAAAGAAGGGGGAAAAATCATGAGCATTAGTCATATCAAATGAGGCCAGAGACGAAGGACCGAGTATCACTGTTGAACCATTTAGCCTCCTCTCCTAGCATTCCATCCCATTGTTCCCGAGGGGCACCCCCTCAAGCAGAGGACCATAGAACGGCCAACAAGAGTGTGCTTTGACAACCTCCATAATCCCACTTGACACACACACACACACACACTGACCAGTAGAATGCCACTTTGTCCCCAAGCTTCCTCTCGTGAACGTTGCGGTCAAGGACGTTGTAGCAGATGTTGGTGGTGGCCCCCTCCATGCACTTGATGTAGATCTCCCCCTTCGTCACGTCAAAGTTGTAGTCCAAGAACTGGCCCGTGTGCGTCGACTTCCAGTAGAATTCTTTTGCAATGTCACCCCAGAACTCTGGAATAAGGAAGAAATGATGAGCCATTATGATGACCACTAACTAGCTGGTGGTTGAATGGGACAATCATGCAAGGCCACCTGCAGCCTCCACCACCAGGAAGCACAGAAATGTCAGACACACCCATTTCTTGTCACATTACCAAATGTTTAAACACTCATGAATTGCCATCCGTGTTAGACAGATAAAAAACATTACTGCATGATGTAGGCTAGCTATCCTTATCCATAAGTTTAGTTTGTTAGGTTCCCCATTAGCTACTGCACATGCAGCAGCTACTCTTCCTTGGGTCCACATAAAACATAAATACACAACAAAGTACAGAACAGTTACAGACAAGAACATAAGATATTACATTCAATTCTAAATTTAAAAAAACAAAATAAGAGTCTTATTGGAATTTTTGCAAATGTATAAAAAAAAAAATGGAAATGACATTTACACAAGTATTCAGACCCTTTACTCAGTACTTTGTTGACGCACCTTTGGCAGCGATTACAGCCTCGAGTCTTCTTGGGTATGACGCTACAAGCTTGGCACCCCTGTTTTTGGGAGGTTCTCCCATTCTTCTCTGCAGATCCTCTCAAGCTCTGTCAGGTTGGATGGGGAGCGTCGCTGCACAGCTATTTTAAAATCTCTCCAGAGATGTTTGATCGGGTTCAAGTCCGGCCTCTGGCTGGGCCACTCAAGAACATTCAGAGACTTGTCCCGAAGCCACTCCTGCGTTGTCTTTGCTGGGTACTTAGGGTTGTTGTCCTGTTGGAAGGTGAACCTTCACCCCAGTCGGAGGACCTGAGCGCTCTGGATAAGCTTTTCATCAAGGATCTCCCTGTACTTTACTCCGTTCATCTTTCCCTCGATCATGTCTCCCAGTCCCTGCTGCTGAAAAACATCCCCCACAGCATGATGCTGCCACCACCATGCTTCACCGTAGGGATGGTGCCAGGTTTCCTCCAGACGTGACGCTTGGCATTCAGGCCAAAGAGTTCAATCTTGGTTTCATCAGACCAGAGAAACTTGTTTCTCATGGTCAGAGTCTTTAGGTGCCTTTTGGCAAACTCCAAGCGAGCTGTCATGTGCCTTTAACTGAAGAGTGGCTTCCGTCTAGCCACTCTACCATAAAGGCCTGATTGATGGAGTGCTGCAGAGATGGTTGTCCTTCTGGAAGGTTCTCCCATCTCCACAGAGGAACTCTAGAGCTCTGTCAGAATGACCATCGGGTTCTTGGTCACATCCCTGACCAAGGCCCTTCTCCCCCGATTGCTCAGTTTTCCATTTAAGAATGATGGAGGCCACTGTGTTCTTGGGGACCTTCAATGCTGCAGAAATGTTTTGGTACCCTTCCCCAGATCTGTGCCTCGACACAATCCTGTCTCGGAGCTCTACGAACAATTCCTTCGACCTCATGGCTTGGGTTTTGCTCTGACATGCACTGTCAACTGTGGGACCTTATATAGACAGGTGTGTGCCTTTACAAATCATGTCCAATCAATTGAATTTACCACAGGTGGACTCCAATCAAGTTTTAGAAACATCAAGGATGATTAATGGAAACAGGATGTACCTGAGCTCAATTTCAAGTCCCATAGCAATTTCAAGTCCCATAGCAAAGGGTCTGAATACTTATGTATGTAAAAATGTAAATAAGGTATCTGGGTTTTTTTTTTAATAAATTTGCAAACATTTCTAAAAACCTGTTTTCGCTTTGTCATTATGGGTTATTGTGTGTAGATTGCTGAGGATTATTTGTATTAATCCATTTTAGAATAAGTCTGTAACGTAACAAAAGGTGGAAAAAGTAAAGTGGTCTGAATACTTTCCCGAAGGCACTGTATATTATACAAGGGGTTAGGCATTTTCACAAATTTTTCTTAAAAACGACCAGAAGTAGTTAATTTCTCCTCAACCATGAAAGACTATCACGCATGGTTGTTGTTATTTCTTGGTGTGCAGTTAAGGGCAAGGTGTGCTGCTAGGTCTTTCTTTTCTGCACCTTACAATATTACCGGACAATAATCAAGATGGGACAAGATCAGGGCCTGAACAACTAGTACAGTTGATCTTTGTGTCAAAAACACAGAACGTATTTTTATAAACAGACATACCTCTCCCCATCTTCACAACAACTTTGTTAATATGACTTGACCATGATAACTGACCATCCAATGTTACTCCTAGAAGTTCAACTTCTTCAAGTTGTTCAATGGTCACACCCTTTATGCACAACTCCAGCTGAGGTTTAGGTCTAAGATAATGCTTTGAACCAAATACAATGCTTTTGGTTTTTTAGATGCATTTAAGACCAGTTTATTGTTAATTACCCATTCTGAAACTAACTCCTTGTTAAGCGTCAGTGAACTCACTGGCTGTAGGTGCAATCAGCATACATAGTCATTTTAGCTTCTTGTAAGACAAGAGGCAAAACAATTGTAAAAATAGAAGTGAAAGGTGTTTGTTCATGCAACACTTATTTCCACAAGTTGTTGACAAGGCTTTGATAAGTGTATTTGTAGATAAACCTACCATCTGGATTTTCAATAGATTTCTGGTAGAGTTCTTTGTAGTTCTCAAAGTTGGGTACATGAGCGTTCTTCTTCAAGTCTCCTCCTGCATGAAAAACGTCCTCCTTCGGTGCTTTGTCTGGAATCATTTTGCCCTCGAGTCAGCTGGCTAACTAGCTAGCTATCCTAACTATCGATTAGCTGTCGAAATGCGGGACAGATAGCAAAGTTATCTAGAATGGTATTGAGGATAAATTGTGCTATTTGCTCGTGCCCACTGCAGCTCTAGCAACGTACAAAGCAAGTCACGCTCTCATTTGTCTGGCACAAAAACAATGGCTAGTTAGCTAAATTAATTTACTTCCTTGTTTGACTGAGGATCCTTCTTTAGCCTCCTACTAGCTACTTCCACGTTAATGCTTAGAATAGTAGCTAAAGAAGCAATGTAGTTAGTGATTGAGAAAATGACAGCTAGTTAACTATGTCAAACAAGCCAGCTAGCTAACGTTAGCTGGTGGTTGCACATTCAATCAATATTGCTAGGCAGTGGAACCCAAAGAAACGAGCTAGCAGCTAACTACCTAACCTACATCAGCTAGCCACCTCTTGTTAGAAAATAGCTAAGCTCAAATATAAGCAACTTTTTGCTTTGCAAAAAGTTTCGATGTAACTGCGTTTTCAGTTAGACCAGAGTCTCGCGAGCTGGCTAGACTTCAAATCCTTGTAAGTTTTAGCTAGCTAGCACCATACAATAGCTCCCTAGCAGCTAGGAAAGTAACGTTAGAAAGCAAATAAGAATAACTTGGGACTTGCGAGACAAGGCCTTTCTGTTCGACGTGCTAGGTCGGACACCACTTGACTTTATATACCCTTCTTCCATTCAAATAAAAACGATTGCATTCATACTGAAACATGACATTTTTATCTGCAAAAATATCAGTTTTGCCCTGAAGTGGAGTGGTCTACGGTTCGTCCAAATCCTCGTTCCTTTGACTGCAGAGACAACGCGAAGGAAGAGCGCAGAGGTGAACTCCATTTGACCCACAAACGCGACAGCCAATCATATTTGAGGAGAACGCAGGTTTTAAAGGGACCGAGTGTCAGAATTTTCAACAACCACCGCCACTTTATTTATTTTTTAGAAACTCAGTCGGGGTCTCAATTTACTATTGAGAGTAAGAATAGTACAATACACCAGGTTCAATTTCGAAATTTGGTTGTGCAACAGCAGTTTTTCTCTTGTTATGTCAGTCACTGACAGTCCCTCAATTAGCCATGTTAGCTAACACTTTTTGGTAAGACTTTACTTGACACCCAGCATCATCACACTTTATGACACGGTCATAACCATGTCATAATATGTCATAACAGCGGACATAACTTGTCATAACCTGTCATAATATGGTCATAACACTGTCATGACACATATTTAGACCTATTGTGACATATATTGCGTTATTTTATGGCTGGTTATGACACCTACATAAGAGTGTCAAAACCCACAAAACCTACCACAACAGTTATTTTATGACTAGTTATGACGCCTACATAATAAGAGTGTAAAAACCCACAAAACCTACCACACAAGGCAAAACATTCCATTACACCATAGCCTACTTGTCAACAGTATGTTTATGTTATATACCATTTTCTGAAATTGACCATGTTAAATTATCATTGTAATTGCACACACATTGTTGTTGGATATGCACCTACCCCAATGCTCTGTTTCTGATGACTTGGATGAATGCAGGAGCATATTTCAGGAGCAGGACAAGACACCCTCTTTGTGACTGATGACTGACATACAGTGAGGGATAAAGTATTTGATCCCCTGCTGATTTTGTACGTTTGCCCACTGACAAAGAAATGATCAGTCTATCATTTTAATGGTAGGTTTATTTGAACGGTGAGAGACAGAATAACAACAAAATAATCCAGAAAAACTAATGTCAAAAATGTTATAAATTGATTTGCATTTTAATGAGGGAAATAAGTATTTGACCCCCTCTCAATCAGAAAGATTTCTGGCTCCCAGGTGTCTTTTATACAGGTAACAGGCTGAGATTAGGAGCACACTCTTAAAGGGAGTGCTCCTAATCTCAGCTTGTTACCTGTATAAAAGACACCTGTCCACAGAAGCAATCAATCAATCAGATTCCAAACTCTCCACCATGGCCAAGACCAAAGAGCTCTCCAAGGATGTCAGGGACAAGATTGTAGACCTACACAAGGCTGGAATGGGCTACAAGACCATCGCCAAGCAGCCTGGTGAGAAGGTGACAACAGTTGGTGCGATTATTCGCAAATGGAAGAAACACAAAAGAACTGTCAATCTCCCTCGGCCTGGGGCTCCATGCAAGATCTCACTACGTGTAGTTGCAATGATCATGAGAACGGTGAGGAATCATCCCAGAACTACACGGGAGGATCTTGTCAATGATCTCAAGGCAGCTGGGACCATAGTCACCAAGAAAACAATTGGTAACACATTACGCTGTGAAGGACTGAAATCCTGCAGCGCCCGCAAGGTCCCCCTGCTCAAGAAAGCACATATACAGGCCCGTCTGAAGTTTGCCAATGAACATCTGAATGATTCAGAGGAGAACTGGGTGAAAGTGTTGTGGTCAGATGAGACTAAAATCGAGCTCTTTGGCATCAACTCAACTCGCCGTGTTTGGAGGAGGAGGAATGCTGCATATGACCCCAAGAACACCATCCCCACTGTCAAACATGGAGGTGGAAACATTATGCTTTGGGGGTGTTTTTCTGCTAAGGGGACAGGACAACTTCACCGCATCAAAGGGACGATGGACGGGGCCATGTACCGTCAAATCTTGGGTGAGAACCTCCTTCCCTCAGCCAGGGCATTGAAAATGGGTCGTGGATGGGTATTCCAGCATGACAATGACCCAAAACACATGGCAAAGGCAACAAAGGAGTGGCTCAAGAAGAAGAACATTAAGGTCCTGGAGTGGCCTAGCCAGTCTTCAGACTTTAATCCCAAAAAATCTGTGGACGGAGCTGAAGGTTCGAGTTGCCAAACGTCAGCCTCGAAACCTTAATGACTTGGAGAAGATCTGCAAAGAGGAGTGGGACAAAATCCCTACTGAGATGTGGGCAAACCTGGTGGCCAACTACAAGAAACGTCTGACCTCTGTGATTGCCAACAAGGGTTTTGCCACCAAGTACTAAGTCGTGTTTTGCAGAGGGGTCAAATACTTATTTCCCTCATTAAAATGCAAATCAATTTATGGATCTGGATTTTTTTGTTGTTATTCTGTCTCTCACTGTTCAAATAAACCTACCATTAAAATTATAGACTGATCATGTCTTTGTCAGTGGGCAAACGTACAAAATCAGCAGGGGATCAAATACTTTTTTCCCTCACTGTAAGGGCATGTACCTGATAGACCTATCTGGCTTATATGATTATGATGGTCATGATGCTTCATGACAGTGTCATAAAGTGCATTTTCTTAGTCCAACTAAAGTGACACAGGATGGTCATAAAAACCCCTAGAGTCGATTGATGCAACATAATAAAAAAATCCCCATTAAAATCTGTACATTTAAGCTAGAGACATCTGTTATTTTGCGTTGGATGTGTCTCAATCCACCACATCCACCTATGTCACACTTCCGCATCTGTGGTGAAAGGTGGCAGAGCTAGAGCGGTGTTTATCAGACCATGAGACATCCCGGTCTTCTCACTAAAACGTCTGTAGTGTCCAAACGGTTTGACCTATATTTGAACTACTATGACCTAAGGTTGTCACAATACACTCTAAAAATTCAACAAGGGTTCTTCTAAGATCCTCAAAGTTCTTCGACGAACCTTAGGGTTTTTGGCACAGAAATATTGCCCCCAAAGGGTTCTTCCAAGAACCCCATAGGAAGTGGGGTTCATCGAGGAACCTCCTTAGTTGGTGGGGGTTCTTGCAGGAACCTAACTGCCCAACTGAAACATTTGGATTTGAAAGGACAGCAGGTGCAGGCACTTAACTGATTTTTTTAATAGATCTCCTCAATTTAAGGTAAGGTTTGTCCCTTGTATGATCTAAATTGATATTGTTTTATGATGATACCATCTATCTTTTCATATTTGTGTAAATATTTCTAAAACAGAAAATTGACACAATTCAATGGATATCTATCAATAAAGAGTTAAGAATATGTATGCTATAAGAATATGTTGAAGGCAAGCTGTATTGGGTGTATCTGCAGGTATACAGACGAGGAGGCATACAGTGGGGGAAAAAAAGTATTTAGTCAGCCACCAATTGTGCAAATTCTCCCACTTAAAAAGATGAGAGAGGCCTGTAATGGGCAGACAAATTGAGAAAAAAAATTCCAGAAAATCACATTGTAGGATTTTTAATGAATTTATTTGCAAATGATGGTGGAAAATAAGTATTTGGTCACCTACAAACAAGCAAGATTTCTGGCTCTCACAGACCTGTAACTTCTTCTTTAAGAGGCTCCTCTGTCCTCCACTCGTTGCCTGTATGAAAGACACCTGTCCACAACCTCAAACAGTCACACTCCAAACTCCACTATGGCCAAGACCAAAGAGCTGTCAAAGGACACCAGAAACAAAATTGTAGACCTGCACCAGGCTGGGAAGACTGAATCTGCAATAGGTAAGCAGCTTGGTTTGAAGAAATCAACTGTGGGAGCAATCATTAGGAAATGGAAGACATACAAGACCACTGATAATCTCCCTCGATCTGGGGCTCCACGCAAGATCTCACCCCGTGGGGTCAAAATGATCACAAGAACGGTGAGCAAAAATCCCAGAACCACACGGGGGGACCTAGTGAATGACCTGCAGAGAGCTGGGACCAAAGTAACAAAGCCTACCATCAGTAACACACTACGCCGCCAGGGACTCAAATCCTGCAGTGCCAGACGTGTCCCCCTGCTTAAGCCAGTACATGTCCAGGCCCGTCTGAAGTTTGCTAGAGTGCATTTGGATGGTCCAGAAGAGGATTGGGAGAATGTCATATCGTCAGATGAAACCAAAATATAACTTTTTGGTAAAAACTCAACTCGTCGTGTTTGGAGGACAAAGAATGCTGAGTTGCATCCAAAGAACACCATACCTACTGTGAAGCATGGGGGGTGGAAACATCATGCTTTGGGGCTGTTTTTCTGCAAAGGGACCAGGACGACTGATCCGTGAAAAGGAAAGAATGAATGGGGCCATGTATCGTGAGATTTTGAGTGAAAACCTCCTTCCATCAGCAAGGGCATTGAAGATGAAACGTGGCTGGGTCTTTCAGCATGACAATGATCCCAAACACACCGCCCGGGCAACGAAGGAGTGGCTTCGTAAGAAGCATTTCAAGGTCCTGGAGTGGCCTAGCCAGTCTCCAGATCTCAACCCCATAGAAAATCTTTGGAGGGAGTTGAAAGTCCATGTTGCCCAGCGACAGCCCCAAAACATCACTGCTCTAGAGGAGATCTGCATGGAGGAATGGGCCAAAATACCAGCAACAGTGTGTGAAAACCTTGTGAAGACTTACAGAAAACGTTTGACCTGTGTCATTGCCAACAAAGGGTATATAACAAAGTATTGAGAAACTTTTGTTATTGACCAAATACTTATTTTCCACCATAATTTGCAAATAAATTCATAAAAAATCCTACAATGTGATTTTCTGGATTTTTTTTTCTCATTTTGTCTGTCATAGTTGACGTGTACCTATGATGAAAATTACAGGCCTCTCTCATCTTTTTAAGTGGGAGAACTTGCACAATTGGTGGCTGACTAAATACTTTTTTTCCCCACTGTACAAAGGTATGTCAATTGGTATTGGTATGCTATGCAGATCACATGTACCATCCTCCCCCCTTAACTCTTCAATGAAAATCCCATAGGCCTCTACATTATGGACAAGGTATGTGTATGAAAACCATTATCAAAACAGCTTTTTCCATTCACATTTACCACAAAAGGCAAGGAATGAATACTGTTGTGTGCATGTTTTGTTAAACATCTGTATAATTACTATTTTTTGGATACAC